ATGCCCCCAAACCCCAAAGCAACAACCTCCAAACCTTTTTTTTTAATTCTCAGTTTTCTTGATGAGCCTTTAAAATCTCCAGTAACTTAAACCACTTTTTGTTTAATCCCTTTGCCCATGGATTTAGAGCAGCCATATAAGTAGGTCGTTCGTGACGCACTCTCCTCCTTGGCATCGGTATCTAGTTTAACAGTAACACATGAGCATCTCTCTCTGTTTGTTACTAATCAAACCCACACGGGATGGTGTAATAAGCTTCGTATCAATTCGGGGGGTTGATGATAACATTTTATTGTCAGTGTGATCATACTCGTGGTGATAGGAACAGCTAAGTAATCAGCCAAACAAGGTAGCTCTTTAGAAGTAGGTTACTAGAGTGTTTTACCCCTTTTTGTGTTATAGTGCTACCTTTGCTTGGGACCTGCTGTTTTTCTTTGACTAAGCATGACAGCAGGTCCCAAGCATTGGGACTAAGCACAAATGCAGGCTTTCTGAAAGATGCAGCATGGTCATGTATGCATCACCATCATCATCTACCCTGTATCCTAAAAGTAACATTTAGATTTGACACTTCTAAGGAAAATTGATTGACCTTCTCAACATGCCTATTAAAAACATCCCTCTCTATGTCCTTCCAAGGAGGAAAACTGTACGTGAAGGAATCGTGTACCTCCGTTAAACTTTTGATAGCAGAAAATGTTTGAATACCCCTCTTCTGAGAATGTTCAAAGCTTTTCTGTAGAAGGCAAGGGGGAGGGAAAATCTCTACAACAGAGCAGCTATGATATGAAGGGTCACTCTCATAAATTAATTGCTGTGCTTATTTATTTTTTAACTGTTTTTTTCCAGGTCCTCCCATTATTCTATGGGCAGTCGAGCTTTTTCCCATGACAGTATTTTTATACCTGATGGGAGAACAGAAAGTGAACAGGCCATCCAAGCAATGTCACAGGAGAACGTTTTAGGAAAAGTCAAAACTCTTCAGGTAAGAAATTGTAAGTGGGAAAAATATTTAAAATGTGTGGAAAATGGTCTCCAGAATGTGTTAAATGTGGATAAAGGTGAGTTGCTTTTTCAATAGCCTTGGGGCAGTTTCTCAACCATGTAAGTCATCTGGCCAAAAGCCCTGTAAATAATTCGGATAATCTGCAGAAGATCTAGGTTTTGATCTTGAAAGGTACGGCAGTGATGCTGCAAGCAAATCTGCAGAAATGTCTGCATCTTGTGGAACTCATTTGAATTGAACTCATGGTTTTGGCATATCCTGATCTGTATGCCTGGGACCTACAGGTGTGGTACTGAGTGAAAAAATGAGGTGCTGTTGGTGGCAGGGAACAGCATGCAGAGTGAGACTTCTTTGCAAAGCCGATTTAATTATCCTTTTATACATACTACCTTTTTTTTTCTCCTTCTTTTTTTCCCTGTCCTTTCAATGGTTCTCATGAAAGGTGGATTTGTTTATCTCTCCAAAGCAAACAGCGCATAAGTAACTACATAAACAACACATTTGGGTATTTGCTTCTAAAGAGCTTTACATGACCTGCTTTCCCTTCTTTTCCAGAACTCTGTCCCATTAGTGCTCGAACTAATTTTTTGCTTTACTTCTTGTACATCTGTAAGATTCCCAGCTCTATGGCTATCTAGACCTTGAAAGAGCTGTCCTTCAGAAGCACGTTTCAGTTTATTGCTGAGGATGCTGACATGTCCTGTCAAAATGCTGATAAATTTTTAATGCTGTGTAGGTGCCGTTACTCTGCAGCTGACTAGTAAAATACCATTTATTTCTTTTACCTCCAAAGTCCACCTGCAGTCCATCTTTTCTGGTGAGTGAGAGATCATGCACAGTAGACAGATCTGACATTCAGGATGAAATTGTTCCTTCTTCCTGCATGGTGCTGTCAGCAGACAGAGCACCTGAATGGTGTTGGCTGTGCTGACTGTGGATGAACTTTGAAGTCAAAACCACACTAGGACAGCTCCAATTTCTCTGTGCTGTTTTTTCAGCTTAAATTTCCCTGGGTCAGGTAGATTCAACACATGCTACTTTCCAGCCTAGAAACCATTGTATTTTAAATGACTGCTGACTCTGGACAAAGATGTGAGGTAGTTGGACCTGTCTTGCAGAATGTTTGAGTGTCCTTTGGATACAAAGCTCACTGACTTCTGCAGGGAGCTGTGCCCTCCCTATCTGTTGGATCTCATCTTGGTTTCAGTACGTTAGCTTTTCTCTGAATACCTTTTCACTTTGCAGGAGTGGCTTCTCCTATTTCCAAACTCACCTTAAGTTTCCAGTGGAAATTATTGCCTCCACTAAACTCAGAGACATGATAAAAAGTACAGTTACTGAAGTTGCTAACAACCATCTTCAGTAAGCTGATGGTAACTCAAGAAAATTAAAGCAAAAATAATCACCCTTGAAAGTCACAAAATAAATAGCCAGTGATACGCTCTTGCTCGTGTGAACTTTGCATGAGTCTTTTTTGGTGTGGTTACTTCCATGTATTTTAAGGGGCAGCATTGTTTCAGCTGCTTGATGTCAAAAGTGTGCTTACCTTTTTATTTAAAATTGAAGGACAGTAGTTCATTTTTATCATTTTAATATAGCTGCAACCCAGCCTGTAACAACATCCCCGATTCAGCTTTTCCCACTCTACAGATGATGGTGATATCCAGAGCAACCCATTCAATCAGAAAGCAAATGCATAATAGATTGTAAATGACACTTTCAACTATTTACATATTTACACAGAAGTTATATATTAATCTAAATGTACATGGATTTTTTTCATAACCCCATGGAAAGGCTCCTTATAACAAGCCCGGGGGCCATCTCTTGTATCTGCAAAACCTGCTGCCCAGCACATAACTGTCCCCATTTCCCTAGCCATGATTTCTGCAACTGTTCCCTGAGTTTTAGGACAAGATCATGCCAAAATCCCATTGCACATTTTTAGGTTGACCTTAGAGTTGAGTTCCAGGATCTGACCAGTTATTTGGATATCGTTCCTGTCTGAAGGTTTTATGCATTCCATACCCTATCCTTTTTTCCTGCTGTAGTATTCTAAAAGGAGACTGCTCGCTGCGTGATTTTGCAGTCACAGAAAACACTTGGTCTCCAGTTATCAGAAGCTTGTGTCTACTTTGAAGTCCCTTTCTGCAAGCTCACTCCCACTGGGAACATCTGTATTTCTTCAAGTGGTGGAACAAGAGGAGACAGTCATCTCTTCTGAAGAGCGCTCCACTCCTTAAAACCAATTCTGTGGCCAGTTCCTGGTAGAGTCATTGCTATGCCACCAGCATTACTGTGATTTTGCCCAGGCTTGTATGTCACGGTGGAAGCACAGCATTTCCAGTTTCCAGTTGCCTGGCAAGGTGCTCCTCAGTAAAGAAGTGTTGCCAGGATTCAGTGCCCTGTGCTGGCTCCGAACTCGCTGTATTCCATACGGAGATCAAAAGCTCTGCAGATTTTAACCTTTTTCAGGATTTTTTTGGAGGTGGTACAATGAACATTCCTGGAAAACTTAAATCTTTTTTGGAAGAGGCACTGTGCTTACAAGCCCAACTGATAGCATGGTGAAAAGGGTTTTGAAATCAGAATAGAAATGCAAGCCATTTAATACTGACGGTGCTGGATCTCATTCTGCTGACCACCAAAGTCGTTCCCCCTTCTCACCTTGCATTTCTGCTGACTTTGGAGTGTTGATGAACCCACAAAAAATGTTGTGTAATGGTGCAAAACTCTGTAGCAGTCTGGGCAGCTGGCCAGCGTATGCACTGATTCAGCTTCTTATTGTAGGAATTCTCTCTTTCTGATTATGTGTGCAAGGTAAATTAGTTCTTTATGGAATAGCTCTCATTTCTTTTTATTGATCGGCAGCATTCATCTTATCAGGCTTTCTGTAAATGGATTTGGTCATGTTCAAAGGTTTTAGCACGTGCTTTGTTAACCTCCAATAGCCTTTGTGTATCCTGGAGTTATTTTGTGTTGGCTCAAGCCATCTGCTGTTGTAAAAGCAGTCTTTTCCTTGTCCTTTGGATCTGCTGAGATTTATCATTACCTAGCTTTTAAAATCCAGTGTAGAAAGCCAGCCTGAACCTGCTCCCACAAAGAGATGGTACCCAGGCACTGGTACTCTTAATGCTGAACTCAGTTTCTGGGGATCTGGTGCTTTACTTCTCATACTGGTGCATTCTCTGGTGCTTTTACTTCTCATACAGGACTGTGAATGAGACACAAGGAATTTTTAAAATCTAAATCTAGCAGTGTGTCAGAACAAACCTAAAAGAAACTCTGGGAGCTTGTTTTTACATCCTTCCCTTTCCTAAGTTAGTGCGGGTTTTTTCTTGCATCAAAGTGTGTTAGATCCACTTCCTCACATTTTGCAGCTGTGACTTTTCTTCCTACTACTGATGTTTGCCAGAAATGGTCAGCAAATGAACAGGAGACAGTTTTTGTTTCAGACCCACCAAAACTGTAGCAAGTAAAACGGAAACTTGTTTTGAGCGTTAGTATCTTGATGTGTCTAAGCCATTATCTCCCTTTTGCTGTGACAATACCGTGGTGTGGCACCGCTGCTGCCTCTGGAGGCAGGAGGACAGCTTGTTCTCCGCCTCTTGCCTTCACTGAAAGTATCTCAGGTCATCTGCCATCCATGAGGCTGTGGCAGTCAGCTGCAAGAAATATTAAAGTTTGACTATGGCCTGTGGCTTATTGCATTTAGGAACTACTGGGCTACATCTTTTCTGTTTCATGTGACCACCCTCCGCCTCTTGCCTTCACTGAAAGTATCTCAGGTCATCTGCCATCCATGAGGCTGTGGCAGTCAGCTGCAAGAAATATTAAAGTTTGACTATGGCCTGTGGCTTATTGCATTTAGGAACTCTGGGCTATATCTTTTCTGTTTCATGTGACCACGTGGTTTAAAACAAACAAACCCTCTGCTCTGTAAATGTAAAACACCTGGCCTGTGGCTTATTGCATTTAGGAACTACTGGGCTACATCTTTTCTGTTTCATGTGACCACGTGGTTTAAAACAAACAAACCCTCTGCTCTGTAAATTTGTAAAACACCCATTTATTACACAGATATTAATTATGTTCAAACATGTCTTGGGAATCCAGACTTCTTGGTCAAATTCTAAAGGACCACTTTTTAAATGCACATTTCCCTGGCTTTGTAATGACGAATGTTCCCAATCATTTTCTTCCTGTCAGACCTAATGACTGTTCAGTTTTGGATCCCATTTCTTTTAATCATTAACATATCTTAGCTAACGATCAAGCTGCTGCTTCCCCTACTGTGCATTGCACATCTGTATTCTACCAGTCATTCCCATTGTTGTTTCTGTTTGATATTGCCCAGATCTCAACAAGGCTACAAAGTCTTTTGCTAAACCTCAAAGCTGTTATCTTTTAACTTGATGCTCTGCATTTTATAGAATTGGGAGTGAATTTTCACTGCATGATTGCCCAGCTTTGTATTTCTTACAATTCATTTCTCTGTTGCCAATATTTTCTAGTGCCACCGCAGCCTAATTGTTTTCTTCACATTTGACAATTGTTTTCACTTCATAAACTGAATTTATCATTTTTTTCTTAATCATTCTAGCATTTCTGGGGCAGACCCCCTTTTTCCTATGATCATATTAAGCCCTGGAAATGAGCTTCCATTTTCCTTGCTCACATGTGCTTTGCTTTTGGCAGTCTGCAAAGAGAGACTCGGGTGACAAATGCCACAGATCCTGCATCTTCAGGCTTCTTCAGAAAGTCTTGCTCTTAACACGTGAACATCAGTAAGTGGTCCATTGCCACTGTATACCGAAATCTTCATTTGCATCTGGATTTGCTGCAAATACATGTCTCTAGAGATCCATATACAGTTTGCTAGAGATCCATATACAGTTTGCTTATTCACCATTCTTCTATTGTGGACTCTCTCAAAACCTTTCTTGAGGTGTAGTGCCCCAAACCACATGCTGCTCCAG